ATATATATATATATATATATATATGACTAGGCGTCTTACACACACACGCAAAGAGGTCATGCCACTAGCATAGAATATTAATTTTTAGGGTCGTGATAATCTCAGCAAAGAAAAATCTGGTGCAGATGCACCGGTCCTGGGAGCAACACAGTAAAATCAACAACATGGGACCTTTAGCGACTGCCCGGACTGTCCTGGAACTCCCACCAACATACGCTCTTTTCAGTGCGGCCATAAAAAAAGAGATGGGGCAAGACGACGCTTATTCCTTGACTATAGAAGACTGAAACAACAGTGGGGGACACTGACGATGAATTAATTCAAATGCTTATTTTTGCAGAAGACGCTGCGCTCATCGTGAAGTTTTAGAAAAATTCTGTTAAAATGATCATGCTTTGCATGTGGGAAAAGAAAAAACTGGACTCTAAATTCAAAGCCAAATGGGCGGGAAATCTGCATTATTCCTAGTACGGCATGAGACTTGGGTAACGACTGAACTCTGGGAATGGATGTGAACCGAAGCAAGACAAAAAGTTTTTTTTTTTCAAAATTAACATAATTTAATCTGCGAAAGCGATACTTTTCAATTTTTCTGTGTCTTTTTCCAATTTTCCAGTTCTGAAACATGGACTGGTATGCTTGGTGAAAAGGAAAACTCCGCAATGACTCAGAGGGTCAACGACGCCAATTACTACGCAAGAGCGAAAACATTGGCCGATCCAGGCGGAGGCGAGAGATCTTTCTCCCCCAGGGGCTCAGGTAGAAGCTGTTTTACTATAGCCCCGTGTCGCCCCTGCAGGAGCTCCCTCCTATCCCTCTCCCCCGCCCTCGGTCAAGGCTGAAGTTTAGGGTCGACTTGCGGGGGGAAGGGGTAGTGGGACGACCGAGGAGGAAGAGCAGAGGGGGGACGAGGCTTCCGATGTAGTGATGGACGGGAGAAGGGGAAGAAAAATAGCCCCGGATCCGACTGGGAGCGAGAGTCAAAGGGCGGCCAAAGTGACTGAATGAAAAGACTATTCAGTTGGTCGTTCGAAAAAGTATTCAAATATTTTAGTCGAAAAAAGCAGTGTGCTACAACGTACCGAACAATGAACAGAATACGCGCTATCGTGGATTGTAAAGTACTTTAGTAAAAACATACGTAGCAACCTGCATAGGGTGAACCGACGGCCTGGGCCTGTAATAAAAATTTTCCATCGTTAAATTCGGTCCACAGCGGAATTTTATCACTCACAAAAATTGCGTATTTGTTCGAACATAGCCAGTAGCGTTCCATTCCACATGGAGTCTTTGAATCACCCTCAAAATCATAAATGGTTGCCTCAGATTTCTAATATTTTTCAAAGAAAAAAAAAACTGGCAAATTTTGTAATTTCAGGAAAAGAAAACACAGGACTCTTCCTGGCTGCAAAATATTTTTTGCAAAATGGAAAATTTTCCTTTATTTTTATTAAATTTGCTAAATATAATTTAAATTTTCCCAGGTAACAGTCTCGAGTCAGTTGCTTATCTGGTTTCCAAACATTAGCAGTTCTCTTGCTTCTCTCCAAAACGATCGTCTCTCGCTGTAGAAGTTGCGCTTAGCAACAGATGAAATTCCTCGAAAGATGCATTTCTTTGAAGTCAGAAGCCCTTATCCGTATCCACCCTGTACAAGAGACTGGAGCACTCGGGGCTAGCTCGATTGATGGCAAACGCCAACAGCAACCCGCTGCTGGCAAGGTTGCCGGTGCTTAGAAGCAAGCTGATGGCAACTCTGACCCCTTGGCATACACTGTAATCCTTAGTAAGCAAGATAGGCGAAAGAAATGAAGAAAAAAAAGACTCAAAGAAAAAACTATTACTCAAGCTATGTGAAATTTATTTTAAATTTTTATTTATTTTAGTAAAAACTTTTTGAATTTTCAGCTTTTTTTACTTTTTCCATTTTTTTCCAAAAAATTTTCTAAGAAAAATTTTTCCCCAAAAAAAGTTCTCCCTCCTTCTCTCACGGTACAACAGCACATACCTTGAGTGCATCCAGTGGAAGATATGGAGCAAGCAGATAGGAATTGCTTGCGATCGGCCATTTCTGGTGCGCCAGCTCCGGGCCTCCGTACCACAGGCCTCCCGAGTCGCAATGCACCACATCTTTCATATAGAGATATTCGTCGGTGCCATGCCATGTAATTTGATATTTTTCGTACAAATCATCATCATCATCATCATCGTCGTTGCCGTCATAAGTGACGCGGAGCTCCACGCCATCGTCGAGCCTCAGCGCCAAAAAATTGTGCTCGGAAGTGCACTGGCGCACCCGCACCTCCCCACTGACAGCACATCCAATGCTCACTGATAACGGCGCAGCAGCACCAGGGCCAGAGACAAGCAGCAGACGATTCTCGAAATCCACTCGTGCATTTCGAACGCTGTAGGGGGGGAAGGAGCAGGAGGGGGAGTAGGAGCAGAAGGGACAGGAGGAGAGGCAGCAGCAGGAGCAGCACGAGGAGGACATTATACAAGAAGGTAGTAGAATCTAGCAAACTGCCCTCACTTTCGCAAGAACTGATTGAGATAACGCCCTGCAACACTGCAACAATTTGCAACCCTGATAGCTAATCAAAATAATTGACCAGCGCACCGCCTGCCACTGCAAAAGTGCGTTTTTTGCACAGTTCCCCGCAGGTTTTTTCGCTAGCAGCACTGTTTTTTCTAGCTAAACGAACCAAATCCGGCTGCCAAGACTGTCAGAAAACATCCCCTCAATGGTACCCGGGTTAGCAACTTATTCGCGGGCCTGCATGTGGGGACCACGCAGGCCTGGCAGCTGGTTCTGAGCTCATCAAGCCCTACGTGGACGGAAAATATCCTCTTAAAATTTCAGCTTTCTAGCTTTCCTGGTTCCCGAGTTAGCAACTTAGCAAGAGCATCCATTTCAAACAGGAGGAATCGTACACGCAGGCAGATCAACTTCTCAAAATTTCAGCTTTTCAACTTTCGTAGGCTTTGGTATAGACGAATATATATATATATATATATATATATATATATATATTCAAGCCCTACGTGGACGTGAAATATATATACACACACGCAAATAACCCTCGTTAATATGCGTTTTCGCGTTACATAGATACAAAAAATGCATAGAAGTCGAGAAATTCCAATCCATGAGAGCTGAAGGCACACGGAAGTATCTCGTTTCTGGTAGCACATGCCAACCAGCAACAACCATCCATCCGCTACAGATAGAAATTGAAACTGAGACCTTTCTTAGAAGCAGGGGGTCGGGAACGGCGACTAGGTTTATGGAGAGGGGAAGGGTTGCCCCTATGGCCCAGCATGAAAGTTAGTGCTAAGGAGAAGCCAGCAATCCTGCAGCACCACTTAAAACTATACCTACGCGAAAAAACTCTACCTAACTATGCCCACCAATCCGCCTCCCGCAACTCGAACCTGAACCCAAGAGTGGGAGTCATACACGAATGGCAAGAAATTTCCCTTTGTGGTGGCGGGTAACTTTACCCTACGGCGGATGGTGGACGTTCGGTTTGGTAGGTAGGGTGGGGTGATTTGCTGCGGGTCTGAAGCAGGAGGAGAGGGACGGGAAGGGAGGGGAGGGGGAGGGCTGGGTAAACGGATTTAATGATAACGTGGCGTGAATCATTTGTCATTTGGTTAGTTCATGTACATTTGGAGGGGATAAGAGAAGGGGACGGGGGAGGGGGAGGGAGAGGGAGGATGATGGGTGAGGAAGAAAGCGTGCCGCTGGTTTTTGCCAGGGATACCCAGGGTAGAGAATGGGTTGAATTGCTTGCTTCCAGAGTGCGTTTATAATGGGAATGGGAACGAGCTCAAGTGTCGCTTTGCATGTAGGATTTGGGAACTGGACAGAGAAAGAGGATGAGGGTACGAGTCGGGAATTCGAAGCAAGAACTGGAGGCAGCTGTAAACAGGAAGAGATAAAACAGCACTACAAAGAAAAGTAAATTAAAGCAAACCTAAGCCTACGAATAAAAAACGAAAAAATGCATAGTCAAAAGAAAAAATCTGAAGCTGTGGAAAAAAGCAAGGGCAAACAAAATGGGCCTATGCGAGTGGGAATCGTCCAATAAAATACAGATGCGGAGTGCCGAAGGTAACACACTGGAACTGTGCGTGTTACGCGTAAGATGGATTCGATGATTTTGGGGTGAGAATGGGCGGAACTGGACGACGCTGACGCCGGATCTTCTTGTCGGAGACGCTGGGCTAACCAAAACACGTTTATCAAATACAACACAGTAAAAATACAGCTGAAATTCCGGGTGGCTAGGCGAGGGGCGAAACCACGGCTGCAGACGAAGAATACGTTGAAGCACAAACGTCTAAAAGTTACAACAAAATTATATGCTTTTATACTCCTCACTTCGGGAGAGGAAGATCACTAGGAGTCAGAAGATCATGCTGCGGTCCGCTTCTGAGTCGTTATGCCTCTTTTCTGCACTCCTTCATTTGCTTTCCGTAAGTGGAATTTTTACAGGATATGAATTGAGCAAAAAGATAGGCAGACTGGATGCATGGGGTTACTAACAGCCAGTGAAGCTAGGAGGCTGAAATTTTGAGGGGAAGTTCCCCATCAATGTACAATCAAGGGACTTCAAAGTCAGCCCCCTAGATGAGCGCGGTTTCCACGTACAGGCACACGAGAGGTTTGCTGGCAAATTGTCGAGTGGTAACGACAAAAGCTAGAAGGCTGGAATTTTGAGGAAATGCTCCCGGTCCAGACGGGTATTAATGTGCTCAAAACCAGCCCTTTAGTATACGTGAAAGCCACGCAGGAGCACGGACAAGATTTTTTTCAGTTACTGACAGCCACTTGTGTAATAGTGTCTATCAATGCCTCCATGTGCCTTTTACTGGCATAACCGGACAAAGGCATCCAATGGAAAATTTTTATGCGGTGAAAGTGTACTTCCGAAATTGTAGAAGCAAACGTAAAAGAGCAATCATTCATACAGCTAGCGACTTGACTGTTTCAAGTTTGCTGTAAAAACACATAATCGCATCGGCAGCTGCGTCTCAGCCTGGAATTTTTCAGGTTTGAGTAGCGAATGCAGTGTTGGGCTACGAAAGCAGTATGCATTCAGAATTCCTTCCTTGCGTCGTTAAAATTTGCCTAAATCTTGTATTTTGTTCATTCATTTATAAGAGAAGCTGCTTGCGTGGTGGTCATTTTTATTGCTATCCTTCGTGCCAAGCGGTCCGCTTTAAAATTATGTCTGGTGAAGTATTTTTCGAATTCAATGTCAAACCAGGGAAGAAGCGCAAAACACCGGTAACATTTGCTGCTTGAGATTTTGTCCTCACGGTATAACGAATGGTAGTTTTGACGAATTTCCGCAAGTCAGCAATACCATGTCTAGCGATAATTAAATTTGGATTTTATAAAACTCTAAAATGCCGAAGAAACAGTTCAAAGAAACAGTTCAGAAACAGTTCAGCATTGTTAAAGTTTTTTCCCAACTGTTTTTGAATGCAGCAAGGTCAAACAAAGGAAGCGGATCTAAGCTGTAATTTAGGAATAGTTCAAAATCTTCTTTTTGAAAAATGTGGTGTATTTAAAAAGGCCGACCACGGAGGAAGGAAAAGGAATAGGCTTGCTGAGGTAAGCGTGATAAAGAAGCTTGCTGAGATGAGAAAATTCGGTTTTGCGATATATGTCGCAAGCACAGCCGGCCAAACTTTTACCTTGAGCTGCTTTCTTTGAATTTTTGCTCTTCATTCTTGTTGGTCACCTCACTGGTACCACTCACTGATACGCGGTGTCTACCGGCTGTTAGCAAAGCGCATAACATGTTTCATTCATGGCACTCTACTTTCTTTCATAGTAGTAACAATGTTGCTTTGTAAGTTTTTTATTTAATAAAACATTTGCCTGTAAAAAAATGTTGGAAAAAAAAGCTGCGAAAAAAATACTTAGATTTGTAAAAATGTTTCAAATAACCGCTAGTGTTTTCGCTCGCAGCACATTTGTATCAGGCAATAATAGTTAATGGAAAGGAATTACTAAAGCGTAAATTAGGCATATTTTGCAGTCCGAATCGGATGATAATAAACAAATGCAAAATGGGGTCGAACAGCTGCCGGTGAGGACGCGAAGCGAACGGAAGAAACACCGCCGTAAGCTTGACGAGAACGTCTGGAAAAGAACGGACTACGCCACTGCCAGTGTTGTAAGTCCAAAATTCGAACTGAACTGTTGTGATCTTCGTGTCATGCTCCTTGTACGACCAGTTAGAACAACACGAAGAAACAATAGTGAGAAATGTTTCAGAAGTTGCTTGTAATAAGGTACTGTAGGCGCTCTGTGGGGCGCGCCAAGCGGGGCTTGGCTTCGGCATAATGAATTTGTCACAGCACATTATAGACATAAGAAATTCGTGATGGAAGTACAACATGAACTAAAAAAAGCATCAAAAATCTGGCTTCTGCCATCTCATTTAATAGTCATTTCAAATCGCACACACTTAATGAGCTCGAAAATGAATATAAATAAGTCGAAAAAAATAAATATTGGACAGTTATACCAAGAATGCCAGGATCACCCGGACTATCAGCATGGATATCTCACAGCAGTGATGTAACTGGGATTTCCACGCAGTCCGGGAGCGGCTACACCGGATCCTTTAATCCCAAGTTGCGAAATTCTATTTGCCCATCCATCGAATGTTTTACATAAGTGCGTCATCTTTTCAAAGGCTGCCCGGGTAGTCCTTTTCTTTCACAAATACCACTCACTTATGCCGCAGCAACAAGTCAGTCATCATCCCATGCCTATCGAATTTTGCTTTCTCGCGTGGACACAGTGATACCCGTACATCGATCTTCTGATGGAGAATCCAACCACTTATATGATCACGAAAAACACGCCAAGCACGCTTCCTTTCACTGCTATCGTTTTCACAGTCAGCGTTTGCTCTTCAGCTTTCGCCATTAAGCGCCTTTTGTATCCTTAACAAGAATAACTAATGTTAAATACTAGGTTAGCGATAAAGTGGGGTGAAAAGTAGTGAGGGGAACAAGAATAATTACTGAGAAGTGCTGAGAAGCAGGGTTTTTATGTGACCTTTCTAAAAAGTTTTTGAAAAATTCCAGGCAGATAGAGAAATCCAGCAAAATGAACCGGGTCAGCCCCAGCAACTGCAACAGCAGCCGTATGCTCCTCGAAAGAAGCAGCATTCGGGACGTAAAAGTAGTCTTTTATTATTTTATGTGTTTTAATTATCATAAATAACAAAATGCAAAAACCATATCTCTTAAAAAAATAGTTGTGGGCTAACAGTCCTCAATTAAGAACACGCAAAATGCTGCATAATAGTGTTTGATTTTAGGCAAGAAATCAAAAAAGAAATCCTCTCACCGAAAGAAATCCCGGAGGAAGGTTTGTTTTTTCTTGATCGTCTTAAAAAAGTCTTCTAGTGAAGATGGAGGAAAAGGCTCAGTTTTACTCAACCCTTCTATTCTTTCTAGCCCAGTCATACACAGAAATGCAGATATAAATAAAACAGCTGTTAATTGCTTTTTTACTTGCTCTGACCAGTATTACACTGCCTAGTGGTCAGCCTACGAGCAGTCTTAACGTTCGTTTTGCCGGTTGAAATCTGGGTTGTTAAACCCATTCCAGACATATATGTTAATGGATCGTATCGTTCTTGTTTTCATAAAGTATTATTTTTGACTTTATGAAAGAAAGCCGTTTTCAGGAAAGGTACACAACAGAAAAACCGGAAACGGAAGACATTGAGCTGACATCCGAAGAAAACTCGCAATCTGGAGAAGACCCAGCTGAGCGTAAAACGCGTAAAAAGCGCAAAAAGAAGGGTCCTCCTGAAGGTGTGACAGAAATTCATCACTGGGATGTCAAACCGATCAAAAAAACACGAGTATTTCCATCAGTGCAACCACCAGTACCACCGCGGCATCCCAAAGGGGAGAGTGCAACGCCGGAAGATGACCGAGAGGACACGATTGAACTTGATGAGGCACCGATCGAAGAGGCAACTATGGAACCAGACACGAAGACAGCGAATCTGGAAGATACAACAAAGACGGCCCGATGCAAGGGCTCGATGGTATTCATTTTACTGCGAATTAGATCGAGTAGTCCACTCTTCAAGAATTCCCAGTGCTCTTGAACTGCCAAAAAGTCATACGTACTTAGCTGGGAGGGCCAAATTCAGGATGGGGCATGCTTTTAGAATCTATGAGCTTGGAACAGTTAGATCCAAATACGCAGGGCCATCTCAGAGCATTCAGTCTACTGACCAGCAGCTTTGATTAGGAATATTGGTAACACCAGAGAAAAAGCCTCGGCTTGTCCAATTTGATTTAGAAGTAATTATCAACGTTGTCCGAATACCGCTGTCGATGCTGACAGACCAGGAACATTTAGCAGGTGGAAAATGAATTATATGCAGAAAAGCGTAAAGCTGATGTACATACGTTTTAGGAGAGCGACATGCCCAATGAAGAACAACAACCAGTGAATTTTGAAACTGTATACGGCCCACCGCAAATATCCTCCAGTGAAACTACTCCAGATGTGGAACTACGTTATTGGGGCGTACTTGCTCTATTCATATTCTTAATCATCATTTATCGCAGTTTCCTACCGCCCGTCCAGTGTGATACCGCTTTTACACAATAGTTTTACCACGTATCTGATCATAATTAAAACTTGTTTAAACGCTTACAGTGTTTTACAAGAAACCCCTTACATGGCACAAATACAGGTATCAGTGAAATTCGTCATCAATATCGAGAGCATTATGACCACCCGAGTGTAACTGCATGCCCTCAAACGATTGGTACAGCTAAGTCAGAGCTTTCTAATATCAGTAATAAGAAATAAACCCATGCTGCTACGAGGCAGGCTTGCCGTTGCGATTATGCATTTTCACACTAAACTTGCGGCGGCCAGATTGCTAACGGCATCAATGGTCCCTGCATAACGATTCAACAAGGAAAGGGTGGGGGGAGGGGGTGGAGTAGGGACTCATTTTGGCTGTGTTTTGGCCTTTTCCTGCATGCAGGGGAACCCAGGCTGGAACGCACCAGGTGAGCCGGAGCGATCATGCGTTTTTGCACAAAACTTGAATTAGGTTAA